CAACACCAAATCATAGAGTGTCGTTCTTCAAGCTGGATGTGAATTATAATCGACCAGACTCGATGTTAATAATGACAATTTTCTTTGCTGCTATAATGGCTATTGTGATATCGGAAAATACTGGTAAGTGTCTACACATACTTATACATAAACAAAAATATTTGAGTTAAGTACGCAGAAATGACCGCCACTTCTTCTTCTATGCTGTCTTTCTCGAGTTTGTGGTTTTTTGAATTATGACACTCTCGAAGCAAAGGTATTACAATATGTAGAACTGTGAGTAAGTTATGTAGTAGTGTTACATACATACACATGCCTTAGAGATGTGTATGGTGTGCGCCGCAATTATTGCACACTAAAAAGGAAGGGGAATGATCGCCACCGCAATTGAACGACCATTTAAACACAGCACACTTCGGCAAAACAGTGTTCCGTGCACTAAGCCCGCAATCACCACATTTTAGGGACAAGCCGATGCTAGTTAATACAAGTACATACTCGATTCTTTTCGTCCGATACCAAGTAATTTTGGTAGTACTGAGTAGTTATCCAATGAAAGTACTTGTATCGAAACCCGATTCAGTGACAATTTTATTCCCCGACCCTTATTTTTTAATCTAATTATTTTTGTGAATAGCTAAAAATTTTTGGCAGCTTAGTTGCCAATGAAAAGAAAGTCCTTCAAAGAAAGACCTTTTATCATATCATTAACATATCACTAGCTTGAAGTGAAAAGTTGCTAAGTCCATTTTTTGTGAAAACTCATATTTGGATATAGGAAGCAAGGTAAATTAAAAATGCATAAATTATTTATGAATCATAAATCAGAAAAAAATAATAAAGACTAACTTTTTTAGCCTTAGTAAGGAATAACAATAAATTATTGCAATCACTTGGGACTTCAGTCAAATGAATAATTTAGTTAAAAATGACTGCATTCTTTAACACCTCTGATATGTAGATACTAATATCGATATAAGTAGTTATCGATACTTTTATCCCGATACTTAGTAGGTATCCATACTTCCTTTCGATGCTACTTCCAAGTATAGGTGTCGGATACTTTCATGGTGTCGTTTTAGCCCTACCGCATTTGATCGATTCCCGAAAGCATGACATCGCATTTGACTGTTTTTTTGCCCGAGCTTTGTTGTTCACAAGGGTATTATAAGTTTTTTCACATAAATGTTGTTTGTAACAGACTAAAGGAATTGAAATAGATATGGACAAATGCATACGCATGTAAATGCTCAGAATGAAAAGAGAAATCGGTTAAGTGCTGACTCGATAAAAAATTTAGACATCTTAAGAAAACTTGGTATGTGTATTTCTTTTGAGCCAAGGACGGATGGTTTTGAAAATGGGCAAAATCGGACAATAACCACGCTTACCTCTCATCTAAGGGTATTTGGCGGAAATACGAAAAATTTGATATTTTACTAAATACTAAAGCTTATTCGCCGAAAATTCATATTTACAACCGTTCCCAAAATTTATTTAAAATTACCAAATTCAAACTTGGAAAGGAATCAATTTGATTTCTGGTTAATATCAACAATGCCGTGGTTGATATTTTCAACAATGATTTGGTAATATTAACCAGATTTTAGTTTACATTAAACAAATTTTTGATCGCCGATTTTTTCGTTTGAATACGCTTATGTTCTGTACTTTACAAATGTTTTTTCAGAGATACAAAACAAACAATTTCTAATATCATTTTAACACGGTGGTTTCTCTGTAGGGTATGTGCAGGATGACGCTCTGCGCAATTACCANAACAATTTCTATCATTTTAACACGGTGGTTTCCCTGTAGGGTATGTGCAGGATGAAGCTCTGCGCAATTACCATCGCTAGTTTTTACACCCTGTCGACACGTTTTGCATAAGTCTTCTTATTCATTGCTGTCCACCACACTAGAACTATTTACGTAGAACAATACTGGTTTCACAATCGCTTTGAATGCCCTGTAGGTTAGATTGGGTGGGACAGGCCCCATGTGTTGCTCAGTATCTTTTTACAGTTGACTGAAAGATAGTTTAAAACACCCGCTATTCTGGCGATCTGTGAACTACACTTCCTGCCAACAAAACAACCAAAACCAACAAAAAAAAAAACACCTCCGATACGTCGAGAAATACCCCTATTGCATATTCTCCTTCGTTCAAGGTAGATTTACCCTTGGTGTTACCATGTGTCTTCTTTTTATTATTTGACGCTGTAACCGCCTAAGTGATTTTGGTCGAGTTGAACAAAGCACTCCAGTCGTTTCTCTTCTGTGCCAACTGACGCCAATTGGAAATGCCAAGTCCTTCTCCACCTGGTATTTCCATCGCACAAGTGACCAAATGTGCCAACCGTGAATATGAGTGAGAAAATAATTTATGCAACCTCACATACGCGGTTTTGCATTTTGTTGATACGCGGTTTTGTACTTTAAATGACGAAAGTCAGAAAACGAAAACCTTTCTTATATACCATCCTTTGTTTCACCAAGACCTCGCATATAATAAAATCGGTTCATATTTTGGTTTTTTGACTCGCTTTCTACTGAGATTTTTACACGAATATTTCCGCTGCAATTCGTCCGAGCTCTTTGAAAGAGTGATTTCCGCGATATTATAAGCAACTTCAGCATTAGAATTTAATTTCTTAACAATTAATATTTTTGTATTCAATGAGACAGTTTCGCCCCAGCCATTGTTTGTTCACATTAGTGAAATGTCAGTGCAGTGTTTCCAGAAAGAATTTTTAGCGAATTAAATAACTAATAATAGCCAAGTCACATATGTAAGAACAACTTTCTTTGAAAATAGTACTGAAATCACATTTATTTATTAAAGGTACAAGTTTATTAAAAAGTTGTTAAATGATGTGCAAATGAGTTAATTTTTCAGTTATTTAAGTTAAGAGCGTGTTTCAGGTCCAGAAATGATTCTGGGCTTAAATGTTGGGAAAAATAATATAGATTAATCACTCAAATCACTTTTAATACATCTGCGTTGCTTTGTTACCAGCTGGTCAATTCTTCAACTGTTTACTTTCAGTTTTAGCTGCGCAGCGCGAATCAGTGAAGCAGAAGAATTCCAATAACCTGAGCAATAATGCAAATGCTATTCCGACCGGAATCGGAGGCGTCATCAGTAGCGGCACTGGTGCTGTCAACGGAAATGCTGTCAGCGGTGGTAATGCCAATCCAAAAAGACACAGCAACGATGTTAACAATGGAAATCCCGTCAACAATGCATCGGCCCCCAGCAATGGAAATTTAGCGACGGCCGACGGCGCGGAGAACTACATCACGATGGCAACAATCACCACTACTTGCCCCACCGTCGCTACAGCAATGGTGTCAAGCAGCAGCCCAGTACCCAGCAGCAGTGTGCAGAAAAACAGCGGCGCCTTTCCTTCGGGCACTTCTGTGGTAAGTCGCAATACGATTGAAGTGACCGAGGATGCTCGAAATGGACCGTATTTCGACAAAGCCGCATCAAAAAATGTGACAGCCTTGCTTGGAAAGACGGCATATTTAAACTGCCGGGTAAAAAATCTGGGCAACAAAACGGTGAGTTCCAATTAATTGCCTCTTTATATACAAGTACAAATCAAATTAACTCAATTTACCCGAATACATATAATAATAAAATGGCAAAAATTCACATTTCGAAGAAACCATGGCATAAAATAAGTACCGACCTCTTCACTGATCTTAAATTAATGGTCCGGAGTAACATAGCGTAGCATACCGAGTAAATAATTAAAAAAAATAAGCCTCCTACTCTGCATTCCTTTTTCCTTGCTTTATTACATATATGGAGTGGCATAAATTTAAGGACTTCTGCTTTCGGAGCCCATAAAAGGGCTCCTATGACGTAGTAACGGTAGGACGTACTTACTTAAAAAGGCCCTTTGATTGAGTTCTCCCAAAGCTACTTCTTTAAGATACTAATTTAAGGTGGATGTAATGTGTTTTGTTCTAATATAAAATGCATATTGAAATTCAGTTGTAATGTTAAATAACGAATAGTACCAGGTTGACCCAGCTTTGCTCGGAGTGCATATACTTTTTAAAGTTTACAAGTTTTTAGTATCAAATACTCGTCATTTGGATAGCTTAAAAATGAAATATTTTGGAAAAAAATTTAGATTTTGATATCTGTAAAGTAAGTAAATTTCTTACTGTAAAATTTAGGTGGCAGCTCTATTTAGAAATAAGTACATATAAAAAAAGCTGATTGCAATAAACCAAATACAAATTTGTATTACATATTTAGCAGCGCGGCAACCCTGATTGAAAACATTTTCGGACCAAAGTTATCACCAGTACTTTTCAGTTGATATCGGTATTGCGATGTCTTAGATAAATTGTGTAAAATCGAAAATAAGTGACAACCTTACACTAATATCCTAATGGATATAACTTAATATAGGGAAAGCACCTTCTCCTGATACCCATGAATACTAACATTGTACCTTTAGTTTCAAATCAAAACAAATAAATACATATGCGATTTAAAACAGGTGGCAACCCTATTAAAGATATTTTTGGATTAGGAATTTTTAAAATATCTTCCATTTAATACCTATATTACGATGTTTTAATTAATTTGCAACTATATTCGAATAGGTGGCAACTTTATACGAGTACCTTCGGAGATAATTCTTATTTAGATAACATTGAAATGCAAAACATTATCCGCGTACAAAATTTCATCAAAATCGTTACAATCGCTTAACTTGTTAAAAGGAAAAGCCCAAGAAGGTCTACCCAAATCATCTTCTGCCTAAATACACTGTAGCGCTACTTTGTTTTTTTTTACCGACTTTGACAATTTTCAAGTAAAAATAAAGTCTTGTAATCTATCGCTCTTAGATCTACAGACAACAATAGCTAAATGCGTTCCTATAGGAAACAGCCAAACAGCCACTTGATCTGCCATGCAAGCTTCAGTCTCAAATCGTATGCTCTCAATTATGAATGATAGATTCGGTAGTAGGCTCTGCAAATCACAAATTATATATTCGATATTGATAAGAAGTATACTATATTTAAATATGTACGTACATACATAGTTATGTATGTGCCAATACGATTTTATTCTTTATGCATTAGCACAGTTGCCAGGAGCCAACGGGATGCGGCAAGGTTATTTTAATCATTACTCTGACCAACAAAGTTTTTCGGCAGATATGTACAATGGGCACTCATTCATAACGAATTTTTTTTCTGAATAATCCTAATGCTTAGAAGAATTCAATTGGCTTTAGTCTTTGGAATAATTCAGACACAAAGCGTCAAAACTAATTTGTAGCAGATTTTGAACTCCTGCAGAATAATGAGTTTCTAATTCGCAGTTTTCTAATAAGACAAAAAGAAAGCCCAAATATTAGTATATTGGCATCAAAGGTAAAGGTACAATAGAGGAAAACTACATCACTTACTTAGCCTGGTGAAGTTAGACATTCAAGGTTGCAATTATTAAGCAGAAAATTGGTGCGAAAGCTGCGAACACCATTATAAATTAAATGTGAAGAGTCCCCATTAGGGATGTGAATTTTTTAGATTTTTGCGATCCCGGGATTTTCGGGATGTCGTTGGTTCAATCCCGGGATCCCGATATCAGTCCCGATATTTATATATTTATTATTTCTCAATGACTTAACATGAAAAAATTGCATCAATATGGTTTGAGAAGCCATATAATAAATAATAAGTGAATGGGTTTGGAACGTACTTTTTTATTTAAAGTGAAAATTATTTCATAAGTAACAAAACGATAGACAGTAATTAAATGTATATGCATTTAATAATACTTTGTGTGTACATATCTGATAAAGTAATTTAAGGTATGTCGAAAAACGCCCGATGCAAAAAAAAAAATTAAGTAAAAAAAATTATTTTCTGGTTGAAAGAAGTTCATAATTCTAGTGGCAGAAATAAAAGAAGCGCCTTAATTCGATCAGTTTTGTGTACTTCCCTTCAGTGCAATGTAAAACAAAAGTATGGGTACCAAATGAAATTTTTTTTTTGGACCCACAAGGACGAATATAAATTAAAAATGCTCCTTTAATCTATTTAATTTTTTTAAGCTAATAAAATTAGTCCTTAACATATAATTTTTTCAAAAATAAGAATTGAAAAATTTGAAGGATATTCAAGGATAAAATTATAAAAGGGTATTTTCAATACCTACCCGTCCCTTACGGACCAAAAAATGTAATGTGCTTAAACTCTACGGAATCTTCTCTTACATTTGATACCCATACTGATTTCTTAAGTATATTGCACTGAAATTATTTAAAAATTTTTTGAATTACCCATATCTTTCAAATTTCAAAGTTCGTTTTAAAAATCCTGACGTCAGAGAGAAAAACTAAGAACGCAATTTTGCTATATTTGGCCCTTGGTTTGGCGAATATATTGATTTTTTTGTGTGCAAAAATGCCTGTCACAAGGTTTTATATCTTCGTTTAAAGTACAAAACCGCGTATGAACAAAATGCAAAACCGCGTATCAAGAAAATGCAAAACCGCGTATGTGAGGTTGCATAAATTATTTTCTAAAGAGTAAAAAGACTTATATTTCAAAATGGTTCTCTTTTTTTATAAAGCAATCGCATTTCTGGATAGTATATTTCAGAACGAGTGGATAAGGATTGAGCCAAGATCTTGTGTGAGCAAATCCAATTTTTGGCAGCCAATGTCAGTTACGTGGTTTTGTAGAATGACGATACGCGGCTTTGTACTTTAAACGACGATATGTAACGGGTGATTTTTTTGAGGTTAGGATTTTCATGCAT